TTGGAAACGCAGTAGCTCGTCCTTGGATTATTATGACAGCACCGTAACTTATTTTTGTCCCAAGGTTCTCACCTGTCCATGCTGTCCTCCACAGTTACTGGAGGGCCCTTATGGGATGGGGATTTAAAAAAAAAAAAAGGATTAAATTATGTGTTTGAATCTCCCCTTCTTCCTGAAAACTTTTTCCTTGGGCTCCATCTCACCCTCCCCTGAAAGAGAATCTCTGCTAGTACCAGCTTTGGTCCCTGGGCTTCGGTTGTGGAAAAAGGGGTGAGAAGTGCCAAGAATCACACAGCCTTAGAAAGTGAAAGACAAGTTTAATTAACTCCCATGAGCAACAGGAGCAAAAGTTTCTTACTAGAAAGAAAAGACTGCAAGAGTAGAAAGTGGGATGAGAAGGGGCAGGGCCGTGGGCTTGATTTACAGGAGAGCTTTTTGATTAAGATGGGGAGGGGGATGGGGAGAGAAGAGGGAAAGGTGTAAAGGATGAGGTTTGAGGCACAAGAGAGGGGAGTGCAAGAAAAAGGGAAGGATCTGAATGGCTTTTACTTTTGACACCTGCAGCACGGTGGCACTGGGCCCCAGGACTCTCTGGGCTGTGACAGTTACATTTGGTTAAACTGTATGCTCCTGAGGGTGAAGGCCCCATGACACTTCAGGTCCTTGACAACCTGGTGCCGACTTCTGCAACCCTTCAGCCCCTCCTTTCCAGAAGCTCCACCCAGAATGGTTCTCTTCCACATTGCTTCCCACCTGTGCTTGCCCAGTCTGCTCCCTCTGCCGACAATGACCTTCTTACCCTGCCTTCCTGCCAACCCCCCTTCCTTGAATCGGGAGAGTCTCCTGCTGTCCACGGCCAGGTTACCTGCAAGGGAATGGAAGTAAAAAGGGTTAAGAAATTGAGTGAACCTCTTCCCAGGAAGTTTAAGAAGGACGCCCGAGGCAAAAGGAGCTTCTTAGAAATGATTTTAGGAGTTGGCTGATCTAAGGACGGAATGGGAAGTCCGTGTCATGGTGGGGGTTGAAACCAGACTGGCTCCTTTGTGTAATACATGGACATTTTCTCCAACACACAAATCGGTTGCTTCCCTTACTATGTTAAGAACAAGAATAATTTTTAATTTCTTAGAATGATTTGCAAATGGAAACACTGGCCCAGTTTCTACAGATAAAATATTATGTTGTGCTCTGAATATTACCAAAATGCACTTGCACTTCCAGGGAGGGAAGTCGTATGTAAAAGCAAGGAAGGGATCACACTAGCTGTGGAAACAAAACTTACCTCTGGAGAAAAACGAAAATTGACCACATGCCATCAAATCCGCACATAAGCAAGTACAAACAGAACGTGTTTCTCAATCTATCAACTTCCCTTTGTTGACAAACCTGCAGTAGTGTTCACAGTTTACCCAGTTATTAATTTCTCCAAAGCAAAGCTTTGTGCCCAAGAAGGGAAACATCGTAAGCCCTGTACTTGGCTTATGCAGAAGGGAAGGAAACCAAAGGTGCTTCACAAGCGTGTCTGATGCCAAAAATGAAGCCAAGTCAGACTAGATTGAAAGGGGTTTAGTATCACGAGGCAGAAACATATAAAATATTTCATGCAGCCAACCTTATTTATTGAGAAGTCCTAATTTTATTGCCCATTTAGTAACATGTTTGTTCCACAAACTAATTTCTCATAAAGCAAAGCACAACCTTTTCTTATAAATAGTATAAATTATTTTATTTACAGAAACTTGTTACAAAACAAATAGACTATATATTTCTTCTCTTTTAAATATCCAAAGTAATTTTCTATCCCTTGACATTTGTTCATGTTCTATACAGCAGCCAACACAAAGTCCAGCTGAGATGCTCTTGATTACGTGTACAAATTATCAAACTATTCACACATTTTAACACAGGAGATTGCTTTTATAACCAAGCTCAAAGAAACAGCAAAATGCTTTTCAAGGCCCTACATTCACACTGACAGTATGTAGTGCTCATTTAAATGATCGAAAAATGCAGAACGTTTTGCACAAAATGTAAAAATGATTATTTTCTGCTAAACAACGAAACTTTTAACAATCATTTTCCAAAGCCCCCCCCCCCCCGGAGAGATAGTTAAGAAATTCCTTGGCAACAGAACTCTTGCAGGAAGACAGCTGCCTTTATAAGTTACATTTTTCAAATTATACATTTTTCAATGTTCTCAGAGGTACTTTGTATTATATTTTTGGAATATAAAATCTTTTAAATATTCTATTTTAAACTCTGTATTTCATGAGTGAGTAACAAAACGGACATACTGTGTAAGTCACTGGCTGACCAAAAAGATTTGTAACCCCTGGTGCCACCAGGCAATCCATCACCGGTTGAATTACTGTGAACCAAAAGGCCTTAATTTTTAAAATACCTAATAAAATTACCAGCATGGGTGGTTTTCAACTCCTCACCTAAGATTTTAGAAACAATATTTAGGTGGAAAAAGCAAACTCCAAAAGAACTGAACATTCAAGTCTTTTTAAAGAATCTGTCGAAGCTTAAAACTAGGTTCAGGCACTTTCAGTTTTTCCCGTTAGTTTTAAACCACATCACACATGAACACACACACGTGCTCAGAGTGTGCACATACAGACGCACAGGCACGCACGCGCACTCACACATAAAACACGAACAAAAGAAAAGCAGTGTGTCACTTCGTTACGTGTAGTCTATCGGGAAATCAGGCAACTAGAGAAGCCATGCCCACTTGATCGGCATGAATCCGCTCCCGAGACATTAAAGGGACAAAAAGACTTTCACAGAACAGAGGCATCCCTTAAACTGTAAAGGAGGCAGGTTCTAGAACTATTGGCTTGGCAGTGAACCACTTCAAATTATAAAAAGGTATTTACTTTTATTAATTAATAAATAAATACTAGATGATCTCAATTGTACCAAAACAGGATATCAGAAAAAAAGACCTGTGCAAAAATACATATTTAAATATGTACAATTCATTTTTAACAAAATATGTCTTCTGAAATAGGGATACTTCCATATTTATAATAGAACAAGAAATTCCAAAATAAAGATACAAAAGTAGGTTTTGTAGAATTCTTTGTTCATCAATGCAGCACTTTTTTTTTTTTTTTGTAGGTTAAGAAAACTGCAGGGGTTGTCATGAAATTCTATTGGAAAGAATATAAAAATTATCTTGGTTTTAAATTGATACCAAAGTCTGTCTAGAAACAACCCAACCACTGCAAATTTGGTTTTTGCAAGTTAATTTAATTCAAAAAAATACTTGTACTCCCGTGTTTTAAATGGTCTTAATTGTTCATTATAATAAAAAGTAGTTGTAGGAGAAAATAAAATATTTGAACAGTCTAAAATTTAATAGCACTGTTTAGAATAGGTCTGTTTGTGGCAGGCAGAATCCAAAATGGCTAATTTCCTAATCCCGATGATCTGTGTACTACCGGGAGACATAATGAAATTCATTTAAAACCTCAGTCTAAGAAATCAAATGATCAACACTCGCTTATCTAAGTATCTACATAATTCTGAATCATCTTGCTATCATGGATCTTATTCACATCTTTTGGAACAACATGATCTGTCTATAAATTCCATTGCTAAAAGCAACTTTATTTATATCCATCAAGTCCCCTTGGCTCTGAAAATAAATTCTACTACCCCATACCCCCATTGCACTTGTCACCAAGGAATCAACTTAAGTACGTCCTGATTCCCTCTTACTTCCGTTCTCTCCCTCCACAGGGATGGAACAACCAGACTGATTTCTCCTAACTACACCAAACTGGCCCATCCATACGCTCTCCTTACTAAGCTCTTCTACAGTATCATTTTTTTAAAATATTTACTGATTGCATAATAAGTGAACAAGATACTCTTCTCCCCTTCCTTTAAAAAAAAAATCAATATTTTACATCAATTTATAGCTAAAGTATCTGCATATAGCTTTTGTTGTCTTACATAATAAGAATAATTCTGTAGCAATTCACATTATTAGGCTGGTAACCAAGTATTTATTCATTCTACTTGTTGACTTGAAATTCCCTGAAACTGACATTTGTAACCCAAGAATTGTAGGGAAAGAAAGGATGCACTGCCTGGCTCTGTCCAGGCCCTGCCCGGAGCAGCGATCAGAGCCTGGGGAAATGTACCCTGTGGTGATCGGCAACTCTGTGTGTTCTTCTAAGGAAAAGTGCCTGGGTTCTTGTTTCAGGAGCTGTGTTCGTGGAATCACCAGTTCAAATGCCCCAGCTCATCCCCCCAATGCAATGATACCTTCTCAAGCACTGACGTTTTAACACAGGAAGCTCTTTCTTTTGGGATGGGGTACTCAAAAAAAAAAATAATAAATAAATAAATAAATAACCCCGAGGGACTCCAGAACTCTCTCTGGAAGATGGCTGGTATTAATCCCCAGAAAGGAGGGTTTGTCGGGCAAGTGTATGCATCACGTCATCTTTGCCTGGGTATGTGTACACATTTGCCTGCTCCCCTCCCTGGATGCCGGGGGACCCAACGGCACCCCAGTGAACCTGTGGAGAGGAAGGGAGAGCAGACATGCACCAGACAGGGAGTGCTCAAAACAGAAATTGACACGGAGTCCCAGGACAGCAACCATCGAGACTGAGGGTAATGCACACAGTGCCCTGGAAACATTTACATATATTAATGACTTCGTGAATGACAGTTTCTGCTGCATCCTAGTAATTTCACTTTACAAAGGCATTTTTTTTTTTAAAACAGGAGACTGGGCAGGGCAACCAACCCAATCTGCCTTACTGTATAACATGAAAACTTAAAGGATAAAAAATTCCACCTCTTTGGAAATCTTGGAAAAACATTTCCCCCATAGTGATTTTATCTACCCCCCAACCCCGTCCCCCAACCAAAATTTGGCTTTCCATTATCAAAACTAGTTTGCATTTGCATTTTCTTAAAAAAAAAAATCACATAGAATGAAAAGTACCTTGAAAAGTAAGCCTCTACAATGTGGTATACTTGCTCTCTGGGCGTCGATGGCTTTAAACCAGTTTGTAAGTTAGAAACTTTTGACAGCTTCTTACCCCAAATTACTTGCAAAAGGCTGGGGGAAAATACAGGCTATTTTGTCATGATGCCTCGCGCTAACGTCCATATTCCATTCCCGGAACATTGCTATAAAAACCTAACAGCACATGCCTTCTCCGGAGGGTTGCTCAGGGCGCAGCTCTGCTCTCCTCTGGAAGGCGTCTCCAGATGGGGGACCTAACTGCTGGAGAGTGACCTACAGAAGACAGTATAAAAAAGGAACTGGGACGGGAAGGGGGAAGAAGGGAGAAAAGTCTACAGTAATGCTCTTGCCAAGACATTCTTTCGCCCAGCCGATCTACTCAAAGAGTGGCTCCATGATTTACCGCAAGTTAAAAAACAAAGCAACAACTTCTCACAGGTTGGTAGCAAGCAGTCCAGACCACGTTAACACTGAAAGAAGCAATTCGGTGGCTGAACTTGATCCAGTGTCCTTTACAAGTACTCACTGCTACAGACATAGCTTCAGGGAAATCCTCGTTACAACAACAGCCCGGCAGATTTCTACCCTCGAGGCCCACAGGAGGTTGGGAAAACAGACTCAAAGGCATCGTGGAGTCCATAGTGCTGAGTGGAGGTGTAACTTGTCGTCAAAAGTGTCCAGATTATTCCTCCCCGCGCTATTTTCAGCTGTCAGGGACGTGCCTTTGGCTTTCAAAAAAGAGGGGGTAGGGAAACAATGAAAAGGTAAGTAAGCAGCTGTACGCAGCACCGCCCTGACGCCCAACAGAGCATCCCGAAGGCCACACGCCGCTCCGCTCTCTCCAGCGGCTGGGTGACGCCAGGAGCACTGGCTACACAACCTGGCCTTAGCTTCCAACTGCCTGCCTTGGGCACAATCATTCTAAACCACTGACTTTTAGAAAACCACCTAGAAGAGATGCAGGCCAGGTTTCTAGCTTAGAGAAAAGGCTCTCATGTTTGCCTTTTGGTTTTATTTACTGATATCATTTCCTTGAAGGTCTTCCAGGTTGTCAGCTGAGAATCGAACAAGGTCATATGGGGTAGCACACGCAGGTGTGAGAACTCACACCCAAGTGCCCGTGCCTGGGGTGGGGGAACTCAGGCCCCCAGTGACCCACAGTGAGCTGCTGAAGTCCTGGGTGGGAGAGGCCACAAGCAGACTGCAGGGTAGATGGGGGAAGCTGCCAAGCCCCATCTGCCAGGCTTCCCAGTACCGCCCACCACACCCACATTCCCTGGTTTAGGGGTCTTCAACCAGCTCAGTTTTCTCTGTTTTAAAATCAGCTCCACAAGGGGCGGCCAGGTGGCACAGTCGGTTAAGCGTCCGACTCTTGGTTTTGTCTCAGGTGGTGATCTTGGGGTCATGGGATCGAGCCCTGTGTCGGGCTCAACCCTCAGCATGGAGTCTGCTTGAGATTCTCTCTCTCCCTCTGCCCTACCCCGCCAATCTAAAAAATAAATTACTTAAATCTTAAAATCAGCTCCCCAAGATACAGGGAGGTGAGGTTCCTACTCTTCTAAGAGCAGCATTCTCTACAGCATTTTGGAGTCATGGATACCTTTGAGATTCTGATGAAAGCTACAGGATCCCTCCTGCAGATAAATGAGCACAGACACTGAAAATACCCAACACTTTTTTGGGGGTGCACCAATCCTCCAATCTCTAGTCATGCCCCCCCACCTTAAGATTTATGCAGCATAATGAAGTTTTCTACCGCACGGGGGAAATCTCCCAAATACACACTTAAGATGAAACTAATTTTAAGAACCCAAACTCAGACTGTTTGTCCTAGTGGGACAGGGCCCTCCCCAATGGTGGGCATCAGAAGTGCAAACTGGCAGCTCATGAGCCAGACATGGTCAGGAGATGTGTGGGCTGTACCAGATTTCAAAACAACACACTATATAACTTTTAAACATGGCCAAATTTCTCATGCCAAGTCCAGATCTGCAGTTTCTTCGAAATGGGTGACAAGTTTCTGGGAGCACCTGCTCTGTGTAGATGGGCTCCCGCTCCCTCGTTTTCTACGAGCACTGTTAATCTCCGCTGCGCCCACCAGCCTCCTCCCCTCCTTTCTGTGACTTGTGGGCACTGAGGGCTGGCAGTGCCGTCTATGGGAAGACAGGTGCATGCAGTAAAAAAACGTGTGGGGCATCGCAACACAAGGGAACACCCCTCCCTCAGGTTCACAGAGAATCAAGAAACTACACTCAGAAGGAAGTTTTTAAAGGATGGCTGGCTAAACCACTTCCTGCAGTATTTGCTCTGAATTTTTATGCTGATGAACTATAATGAATAACTACAAACCGAGTGGTAAAAGCTCATTTTCACATGTCCAGGGACCCCTTGCTCAAACAGCCAAGCAACATACAAACAGTCCCTATAAACTTGAGGCTCAAAGGAAGAATTTAAACAGTTGCTACTTAAATTCCCGGATAAATCTTTTCCCCACACCTTTGGCAGTGGGTATTCATTCACACAGACAGTGGAGGGAACTTTGTCGCTGTAAGAAACTTCCTGGTATTTTCTGAACAAGTCCTAACCTGCCCATTGAGTTAAGTTCTGCAGAGGAGGAAGCCCACAGGACAGAACAGCCTTGCACCGTACCTCAGGGCTCTGGGGGTGCTGCTGACATCCCTGAGTGCAGGCAAGGAGAGGAGACACGCTGATGAGTGAAGTAACAAGAGGAGAGACGAACAGGCACTTACAGCAAAGGAGGCTGGAGGAAGGGGCTCCAGGAGAAGAGGGTGAGGGGATGACAGGAACCGGGGCGGGGGGAATGACAGGAA